GAAAGATTAGTTCACGGCGAAAGATTAGTTCACGGCGAAAGATTAGTTCACGTGGAATGATTCGTTCACAGCGAAAGATTAGTTCACAGAGAATGATTAGTTCACGGGGAAAGATTAGTTCACGGCGAAAGATTAGTTCACAGAGAATGATTCGTTTACAGCGAAAGATTAGTTCACAGCGAAAGATTAGTTCACAGTGAAAGATTAGTTCATAGAGAGTGATTCTTTTGCAATGATAGATTAGTTCACAGTGACAGATTAGTTTGCAGAGTAATTAGATCGTAGTGAAAGATTAGTTCACAGTCAAAGATTAGTTCGCAGTGAGTGATTAGTTCGCAGAGTGTGATTAGTTCGCAGTGAGTAATTCGTGAGTTCAATATGAACAAATATTTAATATGACTCGGTAGTCACGAGTCACGAATCTTTCATATGACTCGGGAGTCACGACTCATATGAAAGATTCGTTCATTTTGAACGAATCACTCGCGAACGACACATCACTAAAACAGACCAACCAGGGCACTCCATCTGCCCACCTCGATCGTTAACGGCGGTAAGGATTTCCAAAGAGTTTTCTGCAGTTGCCTCGCTAAGTATATTTATAAAACTCTGACTAAACTGGAATTATTCGTTTAATCAAGAGGGCTACATTGTAGACAGTTGACGTTAAGTCAACATCCCGACAGTCTTACGACTAGCTAAACTATTTTAACAGCACAGGAAAGGACTGTATCATGTAGGCTTAAGGAAATGCTGCTCGCGTTTTATCGCCGAGCATCGCGCTAAAGCTGGCATGTTGAAGCCTCTGACTAGCTAACTATAATGCACGACGTGTTGATTGATTTGTACATACAAATATATTCTTATAACATATAATGTGAAGAAAACGTCCAATCTGTAAAAGCATATACTTTGCATTGCAAACTCCACCGCAATGAACCCTGACGTTTTTTTCAGATGTGTAGCAAGTTGCAAGCAGGTGTTTTACCACCATAACAGTACATCGACAGTTTATCAGGACGTGACTTTAACGCCATTAAAATGCACCGTCTCACTTTGTGAACGTCAGTGAGTACCATTGAATTTCTAGTTATGCTGATATTGAAGCTGTTGTCATTTAATTTCATTTTTTTAATATTATTATTTTTATTCCTAGGGTGCCGAGACATTTATGTTGAGCATTGACCGAGAGGTTGTCAACAACCACAGCACTTTCTTCACATCTGCCATCTGCCTGATGTTTGCCAGTTGCTACTGCTTCAATATACACTACCTTGTAAAACTACAGTCCACACTTGAGTTCCTCCAACGGTAAAAATTGAATTCTTTATCATCATTAGAATTACAAATAGTTCCTAGCATACCCAGCATGCAGCAATACTGAGTAAACTCTCTCTCTTTTCCTTTCCTTCTTTTTTAAAGGTGTTTCTTTTCAATAAATCCTGGAAGAAGAGTAAGTGTTATTGGTCAATCCCAGAGTCTTGACACTGATCTCAGACTTTGCCGACCATGAGTGGACCTACCAATGATGTTGAGGGTGATTGAGTGATGTGATAAAAGGTACGTCTGATATGATATATATGATATATACACTGCAGATATTTTGTTGTTAAGGGTGTGTACCTATTAAATCTGTCCACTCATTTTGCTCACTGCAATCATTTTAAAAAGAAACAAAACTAATTTTGTTCTTACCCTCTCTCTCTCTCATGAAGGAATTTCTTCTCATCTACAGAGGCACCAAAGATGAGTGTAAAAAGAAGAAAATAATCGTTACAACTGTTACAGTTTGTAAGTAGAGTGTTTTTACGTTTTTACTGCAGTTTATTGTAAGTTGGAAAAGTTTTGACTTCAAATAAAGAGTTTGTATTGGAAAGTACTACGGTGAAGTTTACAGAAAAAAAGTAGGGCTGCACTACATAAGGATTAAAAATGCACATCCCATATTTTCACTATCACGCATTTACTGTAATTTTTAGGGAATTACTGTTTGGACTTTAATATTCGCAAGAATGTATGGTATCTTTTACAGAATATATTTGTAACTTACAATTTATACTGTTAGTTGTACAGAAAAATAAGGAATCAAGCACACTTTTTAACCGTAAGGTCAACATTATCAAGCCGTAAATTAACCACGGCTGCTGGCATTGAACTGTTAAAATAAAAAAATTCCCATGTAAATTTTAAATTAAAACAATGTATTTTTCAAATATTAGAACTTTATTTTTTACAGTAAAATACTGAAATACATACATTTTTCTACCGTAAACGAAGAGAGTGTACTTTACCATAATAACAGCAGATTTTTTTTTACAGTACAGCACCATGGTTCTTTCCTGCTTCTTGCCTGCGCTGCCTCGGATCCCGTTGGATTCAGTGAAGGGCAAAGGAGGGCATCAACTGGCCACGGTGAAAGGCGGACTTGAATTGCTGTGCACAGACTTCAGAGGCGTCGTCCAGCACGTCACCCGTTGAGATCCGGCTCAAAGGACCAAGATGTTGGTGCCGAAAATTACATTATTCAGCCACCACTATTGTCATCTAACTGCCACAGATAGATGGCTCACCTAAGTCCCAAAGTGTATGAGGACTGCAGCTCCTTTTATTGAAAAAGTTACACAAGTACTGAGCAGTTGTTTTTTCAATACGTATACAGTACACTCTTTGGGCATAGTTCACACGATTCACATAATTGATGAGCAACAGACCTCATCCTTTGTGGACCACATCGTAAAACATTTCTAGAAGTACCTACTCCTGACAAGCAGACTATGGTTTAACACACTTTGATTTAACACACTTTGGTAACTAACTATAAATTCTAAAAATAAAAAGTTTTATAATATAAAATTTAAATAATCCATTCATTATTATTATTATCAAAACAAGATTTAAATAATTCCAAATATGAGCCGCTGTGAATTTCTAAAAACAAAGATTGAGCTGAGTGAAAAAAACCTTCCACTAAAATTAGAAGCGGGGGCGTGGCTATGGGCGGAGGGATCTTACGTAACGCGGGCATAAACGTCATGACGTAATTAATCAGCGAGCTCAATGGACCCGAGGGGATTAGAAGAAAACAGCTGAAGGACTGTGGTGTGTCCCACGGACTCTGTCACATCTGCGTACCCCCACAGCTGACGGACCGGTGGTTGCAGAGACAGAGGGACAGCCGTTTGTAAACTTTCACGCCTGCGGGTCCCGTGTCTTCGTGTACATGGACGTTCGCTGTCAAAGCAGCACAGGAAGTGGGCGATAGAGCGAAGAATGTGAAGTAGGAAGACGATGTGCTCCACGAAAAACAACGCGGAGCAGAGGACGCGTAAGTATCCAGGCAGCGGAGTGCGTGTTAGAGTGCTGTTCCCTAATGGTGAAAACACCGTGTGTTTTCACGGACGATGTTTGGTGTGTGGTGTTGTGACATAAATGTCAGAGTTAACTGTTAACTGGTTATGGTCAAAGATTAAGAGTAAGCATCAGATAGGAAGCCACAGTAGAAAAACAGTGAGATGGTGATAATTTATTACCAGCTAGTTCATTAACGTCGGTTCTTCTTCTTCTTCCCTTCCTCCAGCCTCAGACCCTGCTCTCATCCTGGAGCTGAAGACAAGGAGACCTCCGTCTCTGGTGGGCAGGGCTGGATGTGAGACCTGGAGCGTGGACTTCTCTCCGGACGGAGCTTGGTTCGCCTGGTCGATGGGTCACGGCATCGTCTGGGTGGTCGCCTGGCCGCTGGACTCTGAGTAGGTTCTCGTAACTTCTGTTTTTATTACTGAGCCACTGCGGCAATACTACGTTAAATTCTTCTATATTTTTCAAACAAACAAATAAAGTATAAAAATAGGAGTGTTTTGATGACTCCGACTTAAATTAGCCTTTTTTTAATTAACGTAAGAACTGGGCTTTTCTGCGACGGCCGCCATGTTGGTTTACTAAAACTCCGAGCATAAATAAATAGAGTGACCAAGTTTCTATTAATAAAATGTAGGCCAAACATATTTAAGTGGGACATTCAGTGAAGCCGCGAAGTAAAGTATTGTAGTATCAATTGGCACCATTTTGGAAACTAAAAATCCACATTACATTGCAATATAACAATTGTGCCAATTAGCACCACTTGGGTAAATTGAAATTTAGTGTGCAACAAGAGGCATTTTCACGTCCAAAGCTCTACTTTCTCACCACTCTTTGCTGCTTCTATCCAGACACTCTTTGTCATGGGTGTCGAACTCAAATTCAAAGTGGACCAAACTTAATATTTATTGAACAAATTGACAGCAATTGTGCATGTTTTCCCTTCTCTCCCAATATGTAATGAATTTTTTTTTCATATGGAAACAAGCGCATAAACATTGAATCTGCAACAACCAAAGCTTAATATTATAAACACATGAGAAATTACATTTGGCCAACAAAATGTATTTGCTATAAAATAACTACAAATCTCCAGGCCAACTCTAGTACACATTTGATATGATTAAGCGGGCGAGTTTGACACATAGACGGATCAATACAGTGACGGGAGAACCAAAACCAAGTCGGCCCTGCTCTTTTTTACACTTCTGAGTTTATGACATACATTTTTTCTTTGTTTTTACCGTTGAGTTTTTATTTTATTTTATATGTTGTTCTTCTTCTTCTTATTATTATTATTGAAAGCGATCATCCCTTAAGGCTACAGGGAATATAAACAGTGCTCTTCCAATGTTATTTGAAATATGAATATATATTTATGTAATAGTGTCATTTGCCCAATCCTTTGGTGTTATTGTTACAGTAAGCAGGATACTTTTTCTGTCTTTTTGATCAATATTTCCATAATAGGATTTCAGCACAATTTAAGTAAAGTAATCTGAGATAGAGTGACATTTTTGCTCTTCCCCTGGGCTCGGGTTACAATGTCACATCTGAGTCTGAACAAGTCGGCGAGCCAGCTGGTATATTTATGGTACTGATCCACGCTGATCTCCTCTGTGCTGAAATGTCATGATGCAGCATCTCCAACAAAATAAAAATTGATTTTCAATGAATATGGACATTTGACAAGTAGATTGAAAACATTATTTTACGCTAGGTCCTTATCGATTTCCTCGTCCACAGAGAAAATCAGAGTGGAGACACTGACCGAGGGGACAAGAGCTTCAGTTGTGGACATCCCGTGTGGGGCCTGGCGTTTGGGCCCAGACCCCCAAAATCATCTGCTGCTGCACAGCCTTGTAGAGCACCATCCAAAGGGAACAACAGCCTGCTCTTGGCCACAGGCCTGGAAAACGGAATCATCAAAATCTGGAACGTCTTGACAGGTTTGATCTCTGTCTCTGCTGATGATAACGCTGCCCTGTGAGATGTTGGGCTTACAAACATGTTTTTTATTTTTTTTATTTGCAACCCTAGGAGATGCAGTGTTTGACCTCCACGGTCACGAAGGTGTAGTACGCAACCTTGTCTTCCCACAGAATGGAACGCTCACGCTTGTGTCTTCGTCGAGAGATAAAACCTTGAGGATATGGGACCTGTCTCATAAAGGTGTGTGTAACTGAACTATTGCTCTAGTTTGTTTTGCAATACCATATCGATATTCTAGGGCTACATTGTTTTTTTTTATTATTATTAATGACCATACAGATAATAATGATGTTGGTTCATTTTATTTTGCTTTTCTTTAGTGATAACAAATGTTGATCCCTCTGTTACAGTTGTAGCGACCTGATGTTAAGCATGTAGCAGCATTGTACGTTTATTATGCTGACGATTCTCCTACAATTAAATTGGTTTAAAAGAATGCAATATATCATTGTGCCTACAGTATCGCAATACATTGTGATGTATCGCATCGTTGCCCCTTTGTTGCGATACGTATCATCGCTAGATTCTTGCCAATACAAACCCCTTTTATCTGTATGTGACAGTACATTTCTTGAGAAGTGAAAAGAAATCCTGCCAGACTTCCACTTTCTCTTTTCACTCTCCTGCATCTCGAGGGTAGATTTAGTGTCTTTGCGCAAAAGACATACAAGATAATTAGCAACATTATCCAGTTTTGATCCAGTTCCCCTGAAACGTCATCAAAAATAAGTGAAAAGGTCTCACTTGTAAAAGGTCAAAAATGGAAGCTGTCGCAATAAATATGTGGGTCACAAGTTTGAGCCGTGTGACTTTATTGCTCCACTTGTCAGGCACATGTCAGATTTCGACATCTCTCCGCTAACTGCTATCATTGTCCGACTGAGCTGTTATTTGGCTCTGATCGCTGCCTGTGACCCGTTGAAGTGTTGACACTCGGTCAAGTTGTGGGGCACAAAAAGCTGCATGGCTACTGATGGACGTTATTATTTATGTGATGAGTCAAGTAGTGGTCATCAGGTGTCTGGGTTCACATGGTGCTGGAAGTACTGTCAATACTGCGTCTGAATTATGGGAATGACTCCACGTCCTCAGTTGTTGTTTGGTCATGTCAGACTTTTCATGTGCACAACTAGGCAAACATGCAGCAGCATTGGTAAATACTTTAAGAAAATACTACCTGTTTACTTTCCGGGCAGGCTCAGTACAGTATTTTCTCAGGAACCATTATACTCGGAGATATTATCTGTGTTATGATAGGATGTTGAGTGAGTTAGACCTGCCTGTACATGAACAGTACAAATCTGTCTTCAAAAGACACTCAACCTTCTGGACTGCATTTATATTAAAACAAAAGTAATGCAGTGGTTCTCAAACTATGGCACGTGTACCACAAATTGTATCTGGGCCACATTAAGTGGTATGCGGGGGTGTGTGGTTGTTTTGTCCGTGTGGGTTGAAGTACCAGTTGTGAGGCTACTTCATTGTACAGTGTGTCTTTATTTGACAAGTGGACCAGATTATAAGCTCATGTGTATTTTTGTGTTTAGCTAAGGTAAAGTCATACTGGTGGTACTTGGAGAGCCACATATTTTGGAGTTGGTTTAGTTTCAGATTCAGGTGAATAGGTTTGAATTGAATAGGTTATTTTACGGGTGCCCATTAAGTGGATTGCAATATACCAGTAGATCCCAGTAGAAAGTTCTTTCACAGTGAAGTGTAAGTGTTTTTTCCAGGTATACACAAAAAACATTCTGGGAATTTCAAATGAGAGTGAACTTGAGTGTGCGTCACTGTATTATCCCAGAAGGTTTCAACTTCTGTCCTTATGTGACTGTGGGTGTACCCACTAACCTTCTAAGCATAGAACAGTGTTTTTGTTCTGCCAGATATCAAATATTCTTGAAATGCAACTCCTCCAGGATCCTTCTGTGACTTCCAGAAACACCCATGCTGTGTCATTTCCTGTCTTATACAAACGACCAAACAAGCAAACAAACAGAAGAAAACACTTGAAGACAAACAGATGTCTCCAGTTGTGGGTTAAAGCTTTAGATCTGTGTTCCACAGCTCCCTTTGTGGAGCCTTTAAATTATTTTGAGTAATTATCGCAATGGAAGAGAACTAGAACTTTTTCTGGCAACCTCTGAAATATTTGTTAGCTTCTCTGTTGTTTAAACTCAGTAATGTATTATGCAGTTTGTATTTGGTTACACCGTGTCTTTACATCACAGGGAAGAAGGTGCAGGTGCTGTCAGGACATAAGGACTGGATCAGCTGCTGCTGTGTGTCGCCGGACTGCAGCATGATCGCATCGGTCGGAAGGTTTGACAGAGTGAGTGGAATTAAAAACATTTGCGCGTTTATGGGAAATGTGAAAATTAAAAATCGACTAATTGCCTGAAGCTAAATTTTGGATGTTTTTCTTGAGATTTTTTCATTTTAGAAATCCCATCATTTAGATAAATAAAAACAGCCATAAAACACATGCAGATCCATCTACCTGCCATTATTCATCTTTCCAATCCAATGTGAAAAAGTTAGGGAAGTTTAGGCACGTTGATTTATCTCAATTAATTACGATTAATCGTAAATATAATATATAAAATACTTCATTTATCGTAGCAGCTACAGTACCGCTGCAGATTAGAGCCTCACTGCCTCTTCACCGTCTTATCTTCACCAGATGGTCTGTCTGTGGAGTCTACGCTCCTATACTTTTATCAGAAATTTGACAGGAGGAACCAGAAAAACCTTATACCTCTTGTCCTCCTGTGACTTCTCTCCTGATGGGGCGCTGTTGGCCACTGCAGCGTTCAGGGGCTCGAACTCCTGGATTGATCTATGGGACCCGTACACCGCGGAGAAACTAACCACTCTGATGTGCGTACAATCTATGTGTTCAATTGTTTGGCGTCTACAACAAATATCGCCTCCGTGTGGTGAACACCTATACATCTGGCTAAACACATCTACACTTTGTTTTTGTTTTTTTTAATGGTGGAATATTCCAACAAAACGTGTAGTTTTATTAATTTTAAGAATCATAATGCTTTGCTAACCAGCTCTTCCCTAAGACCTAGTCAAATTCTAACATTATAGGCAGAGGTCTTCAACAAGTGCTGTGCGACCCTTGGGGGTCATAGGGGATACTGCAAGAAGTTCGAAACGTTTATGAATGATTCGACACTTTTTATATTTGTTATTTAAAATAGAATATTCTCTCACACAAAAACAATTATGTACTTTTCATTCATATATACACATATTTACATATATAAACACATGTATAGTCATATTTATGTGTGAATAATGCGTCATATAATAATGTGTAATAGATTTGGTTTATATATATATATATATATATGTCAATTATAATTGTCCCCCTAATTGAATTCACAGTGACTACTTTGAGGACTATGGGCAAAACCAAATCTCAGCAATACAATTCTCACCCAATGGTTTGCACTTGGCTGTTGTGACGGACCGAAGGTGAGTTGATTTTTATTTTATTTTTTTTAAATCTGTTCACAACAGAGTGGTTTCAGGCAGATCTGTTGTGTTTGCAGAGCTCTAAGGATATGGGAGCCAGGAACAACAGGAATGGTGATGCAGACCAGAGCGGACCGCAACTCTAACGGACTCTGTTGCGACTATCACCCACAGGGAGGCGTCGTCGCCACAGGGTAAAAATATCAACACAAGTGAATCTTTCATTTACCCCTGATCATGCCTGGTTTTGTAAGAGTGGAAAAAAACACAATTAAATGAGCGACGATTAAATGAGCGACAGATGGACAGGTTCTGAGCAGGACTCAGAGGTAATTTTAAAAAAGAAAAAAAGGTTATAAGGCTATAAAAAAGTATTTTTCATCCTGTTTCCCCTGCACTGGTAAGCTGAACAATGTTTAACCTAAAAAAAGATTGTGTAGTTGAAACATTTTTTAAAATTCTCTCCAAAACAGGTAATAATAATTAGGCTAAATCAACAGGCTACATTGCTAATTAGCATTAGCGTGACTCTTTGGTAAAGTCAGCCTTAATGGCTTCAGCAACTTTAAGATGTGTTAATTAGCTTGTCAGTGTGCTCTGCTAAATGACATGGTGTTTTGTTGGATAAAAGTGTTTGATGCTAATGCTATTTTTGAATTGTTACTGTGATAGTTACTTACATAACATGTTAACACTTTTAATCGCAAAGTTTTGGTACAGTGTTAACAGATTAACTATACATTACCACTCTTTTCTCCAGAACCAGAGACGGCCACGTTAGGTTTTGGAGGACTCCCAGGACAGTGCCAAGTTTGTGCCACCTGTGCCGCTGCATCCTCCGCCACTCAGTCTCCACACACCAGCTGGAGCCTGTACCCCTGCCCACCAGAATCATGAAGTACCTCACATACAGAAACATCCCTGAACGTCTCATGACCTGCTCCTCATCCTCCTCCTCTGAGGAAGATGAGTGAGAGGGTCAGAAATGAAAACTAAGGGGGTGAAGGGGTTTTAAAAAAAATAAATTAAAAAAAAAAGGATTTTTCACTGTGTGATTGTTAAACACTGATGACTAATGAAATGCCTTTGATTGTTTAACTGAGAGGCTTTTCCAGCTTGGTTTATTACAGGATGCATATCTTAATGCCACTGATTACAAATGCAACATTCCTGCACTAAACATTTAATGCACTACATTAAAGACGATGCATTTACTTTGTCCATATGCTGATGACTTATTTTATAGAATTTTATTTATTGTGTATATAAGGTATTAAAAATTTCTAATTCCTGTGTTTACTACGAAACTGCACACATCCTGCTACGAAACCTGCACATGTTATTCATAAGAGAAACTTCAAATATAGGAAATAGTTTTATTAAATGAATACAAACACTATGTCTGCACGGTGTTGTGTTTTTTTTTTTGTTTCTTCTTCCAATATATTTTCTGCAGTGAACATCCAGAATATTTATTTTGTACAGTTTGACGCTTGACACGTTCAAACAAATCCATCCATTTTCTGGTGATTGTGACATCAAATTAGGAGTTTATAAAGTTCTAAAAGGTTGTATTTCGAGAGAATTAAACAAAACCACTATTGTTCTGTTGAGTTATGAAAATGTTTGTCTGCCTGCTGTTTGTCTTCACTCTGTGCTTTGAAGCTGGGAAGAGCATCTAAGAGGCTTCGCTGACCACTGTGTCTCTCACTGCCTGGAAAGCTGCAACCATGGAGCTCAGCTGGATCTTTTCATCAGTTCCAGAGGAGAGCCGGTGTCTGTAGAGATGATGTTCAGAAAAAAAAAAACACACACTTTCTTTTTCATGTTTTCAATATGAAAAGAAGACACTAGTCATCTGACTTACTCTATATCAGCCAACTTGATGAGCAGACCGATCCGAATTGCTGGAGGGAAGTCCACTATAAAACAGAGGGAAAACATACCATTCATGTTGCATTGCACTAGTTTTGACATGCTGAGCATGATGTCTAGACTGTGTTCCAACCTGTACGTACACAGTTTAAAATAATTTCTACTTAAGCATATTACATGATTCCTTGAGGAAAGGTCTACAGTACATGTTGAAATACACGTAAATATTGTCTTTTTCTTTACCTCTGTGTATGAGCAAATGAATTTCAGTCAGGATGTCGTGAAGAGCCAAACCTTTCAACGTCTTCAGCTGAAGGATTTCTGTTTCACAGTGTTAAAGAAATATCTAATCAGCTAATCACGAGACAGCAACTCACAAATTAAAATCAAGTATCAGATTAGGAAGTAAAGGAGATTTAAATATTTTTAGATTGGACTTGTATCTGATTTAATGACACCAAGAGCACCAGCCAGACCGCTGATGAATGAAGAACTTTTGTGACTGGTTCAGGATAAACGCTGAAACAGCGGTGCAGCCTGTAAACGGCTGGCAGGACTAATCACAAACAGACTGATCAGTCAGCAACAAAGCAGAGCAGAGTAAATGCTCCTCAGAGAGAAACTGTTAGACTGAAGGATACGTTTATAGGCTGAGGTGAAGTCTTTGTTCAGAGACCAGTCCAGGATGTTGGTGATGTCTGAGCGCAGGGGGTGACCCGTGCAGGTGTAGACGGTTTCCTCCGTCACCTTCTCGTAAGCCATACTGGTGCTCTGTAATCAGAGATAGGGGGCAGTCATTCAAAGTGGATGTACTGCATGTATTGATACACAACGGATGATAGAAAGGTCTTCAACATGGGGTGTGTGGCCCTTAGGAGGCCATGAAATGTTTTTTTTTTTTTTTTACCTTTTTCTCCACAAACTATTTAACTAAAATGCACAATGACATATCTCTACATCAGTTTGGCCTGAAAAAATATTGAAAGACTCCTGCTTTAATGGACAATAATGATTTGTAATATTGGTACTAATTATATTGCCATTAATAATAAGTCAACGACAGGGCGAAAGTGCATAATGTTTCCAGTAAAGGGAGCCCTCAGGTTTACTTAATTTACAATTGTGAGAAAATAACACAGGAAGTAAAATAGAAAATTACCCAACCTGATCATGGTATAACCTTAATATTCTATTACTCTTAATGAGCATCATTACCTGCAGGATGTTGAGAGATCGTCTCATATCACCTGTTGATAAGGTCACAATCGCCTTAATTCCATCTGGAGTGACGTTGATGCTGCCAAATACAGGAGGGCCAATAAAATCATCCACTTTAATTAGAACTTTTTAATTACACATTAATCCACCTATGGTTCAGTGAGTGAATTGATCATTATATATTTAAAGTATTTTCACACATGGGCAGGATGACGCACGCCGTGCATTCAAAAACTCCACCGTCCATTCAATTACTGTGACACGGTCGATACAAATGTTTTCATTTCACCAAAGCACTTTGAGCTTAAAATATATTTCAGATTGTTGAGGACAAAAAACAAACATAATAGATTCAGATTTTGCCGGACATAAATTGCATCACAAAAAAAAAATATTACCAAAAATCTTTACACAAACACACCTTTCTTGCTGGATTACATGCTCCAGCCGTGGAATCATCTGCTCAGGGGACAGTGGGCCAAAGCGAAACCTGGTGCAGCGGGACTGCAGTGCGGGTATGATCTTGGACAAATAGTTACAGATGAGACAGAACCGAGTGTTTTCTGTGAACTTCTCAATCACTGAGAGAGAGAGAGAGAGAGAGAGAGAGAGAGAGAGAGAGACAGAAAAGAAGGATGGAAGGAAAGGGTAAGAGAGAGAAATCGAAGCTTTGATTGTCTAGTGAACAGAAGACTCAACTATTCACCAGCAGCCAGTCCTCTAAACACTCAGTGAACCGTGAGGCTCACAGTTGGCGACGCTTATCCGAGCAGATGGCTTACCTCGACGCAATGCATTCTGGGCATCCTGGGTCATAGCATCGGCCTCATCCAGTATCACTAACTTGAAGCCTTTCCTGGAGGACAAATGGACAGTCAAAAAAGTCATGAACATGAATGAGTCCACCTGCTTTTCTAAGGTAGACATTTTTTTTGTGAGTCTTACTTGAAGATGGTGCGAGTGCTGGCAAAACTGAGAACAGGACCTCGGACAACATCGATACCTCGGTCATCAGACGCATTCAGCTGCAAAAGATTAAATGTAAATCATCTAGGGCAAAGAAAGTAAACAAGATGAAGCCAATTCTATTGAGAAGGAATGGAGTAATCCTCCATACCTCCAACACCATGGAATTGAACTCCTTGCCCTTGTACAGCTGCTTGGCACAGGCCAGGATCGTGGAGGTCTTTCCTGTTCCAGGGGGGCCGTAGAACAAGAGATGAGGAAGTTTGTCCTCGCTGATGAACCGCTGGACTAAAGAGATGAAAAAAAAAAAAAATAATAATAATAATAAAATACATGCATGTATATATGTAATTGTCAACATAACTTTTGATTTGTAGTACAATTTCGAAATGAATAACATTGACAACTCTTAAAATACTGACAAGCCTTTACATTTTCTAAAAAACAAAACAAAACAAATTTATGACAACTAGTAAAAATTACATATGTTCAAATACTTACTGGTACTTAGAATATCTTTGTGTGAAATCAGATCATCCAGTTTCTGTGGTCTGTATTTTTCCACCCTGAAAATACATTGATAAAATAAGATTGTAACACATAGCAGGTAGCTCATTAAACATTTCCTATATTTTAAGAAACTACCCTCCGACCAACATTCTAATGTTAAGACTAGTGTAAAAATATGAGCATATGGGATTGTTATGCGTCCGTGTCAAATTCGGCATCTTTATTATTCCGAATGTGCATCTGTATTTACTGATATGACGCATATAGTCACGGGAGGTTGTGCCTGTGTTCGGTTTGATGCAAAGGAAACAAAGTAAAACAATAAATCTAACAAGTCGTTTGCCGCGCCGGATAAAACACAATGACCAATTACTACAGAAAATAGGCAATTTAGACAGAATCCAAAATATGAGAGTTTTACTTTAATCTCTAAGACGTCTTTATCGTTCATAAATTAGACGTGAGCGTGTGGCTGGCAGCTTCTGGGAGCTCGCTGACATGCACAGCGAACACATAGCTAGTTAGCATAGACTTACTTTAACTCTACACAAAGGAACCAGGACATTGAACTCACCACGGGAGGTTTCTGCTCTGCGGCGGTGCGTTTTGAGTGGGGGCCATTTCTTCTGGTAAATTTGGAAATTTCTACAATCCAGGTTTGATAATCTGTTTACAGTTGGACACACTTCCCTGTGCGTTTGGCGCGCTGTACTACAAAACGAACGCCCCGCGTCACGACGTACAACCAAGCATATCCGCTCCTTTGGGGGGCGGGGTCTCGTTGTCAACCTGTTTCTTTATGCTATGCTAACCAGTAGTTTTTACAAATATTTCACGGCATTAAAAACTAAGTATCAAGGGAATATATATTTATAGCACCTTCGAAAACTTAAAATGTCCATTTTTGTCAGTATAACCGACTCAGAGGTCTGTATGGCACTTGAAACATCAGGTAATTTTACTTATTTTTTTTTAGCTATCCACGGGCAGTGGTAAGGCATCATTTATTCTTTAATTAACTTGGGTTATCAAAATATAATATAATATAAATATAATATTTAATTATTATTACATTATTTTTCAGAAACAAATAAAATATAAATAAGCACAAATAACCTTTTAAATATTTGTAAAGATTATCACATTTAATGATTTAAAGAACGACAGTGTTAATTGTAAAGCAAAAAACAAACAAACAAAACAGTGACAATGTCATATGCGATGTGAATTTCAGGAATAGTGTGTTAAACAACTGTTTGCATTTTATTTGTCTTCAAACCCCTAAGTTTGGTTCAACGATGTTACAGTATACAGTATACTTTGGTCAGTGTTCTGAAAAAGGACTGATTCTAACGAGGCTGGAAATGATTAAAATGAGAACACACTCCGCCCTCCTTTGCCAATCTCGCGAGAGTTGCTGCTCATGGCGTTGCCTGGGCGCTGCTACGATGCTGTTGCTGTGGCTTTGATTGACAGGAAACATGTCGGTGTGGTGGGAGCGAACCAGAATGCAGCTGCTGCTACGGGAGACAGGGAGTACTCGCATCGAGTCCCCGCATCAGCACCTTTAAAGTCTGCTGGCTTTCCCTTCAGTTCCACCAGTTAATAATGCGCTGAGCAGCTTTTATTTATTTTATTTTATTTATTATTTTTTCTTTCTTTTTTTCCTGAAACATCCATTTGAAAGCGATGGACACCCAGTGGATGCTTTGGCCAGCCGTTTAGTCCCGCTGAGCATTTTGATCTTGTGTTTGCTCCGAGACACCTTGATGAAACAGCAGGAACCACGAGCACTGTTGTTGCAATGGCTCTGTCACGGCTCAAAGTGCGTCTGTAAACCTCCATCACTTCGTTTCATGGCGTTTTGCGGCTCGCTCAGCTCTGTGCACTCCTCCACGTTTCTTCTCTGAATCTCTTTTTTTAGAAAACATTTTTTTATTATTATTATTAAAAAAGAAAATCTTTTTTTTCTTTTTCTTTTTGGTCTTAAACTGCAAAGAGTGGGATTTAAAGCCCGCTTCACGCCAAACTATGAACGAGGAGATGACAAAAAGCGAGGAGCAGCATCTCAGTTTGCAGAAAGCCTTGCAGCAGTGCGAGTTGGTGCAGAACATGATTGACATAAGCATTTCCAGTTTGGAGGGTTTACGGACCAAATGTGCCACATCCAACGACTTGACACGAAAAGAGATACGGACGCTGGAGGTAAGCAGAATGGGCGAATGTGTGCGCGCTTTGCATCTCCATCAGAATCAATACACAGGGGCTGCCTGGCTGCCTGACACGGTCTCTCTTTTATTTATATGCCACTCTGCACATATGTCAGTGCGTTATTTTTAATAGTAGCCACTCCTCACCGATCCGCACCGTTGTCAAAGCACATATGCTAGGGTATTCGTGTGAAAGAGCACCGCTTGTCCGTTTTTTTTTTTTTTTTTTTTCGTTTTTTTTTTTTTTTGTGTGTGTGTGCAGTGCTATAAATCAGGAGGGCTCCAGGCTGCAGTGGGTTGTTGTAAGACCTGCGCATTCTGCAGGTGGCGGGGAGAGAAGGCGGCTCTTCTCCATCAGAATAATGTCTAGGGCCTATAAGCAGCCCCGTGTTTACAATCCACTATCTCCTCTACTTACAATCCAACCTGCGCAACTCACCTAGCAGCTCGTCCACGCAGGCGAAATGCAATACTGAGGGTCTTACACCGAATATTATCGGCTGCCTAATTGGCTCTAGAGTTTTTGTTTTGTTTTCTTTCTTCTTTTTTTTTTTGTTGTAATTTGCCTTTACGTAATCACCACCGCAAATCAACGGTGGTGTTGGCATCCGTTTTTGAAGGCACTTATAGCTGTCGAAGTCAGTTGACAGGGCTGTTACTGGACACATAAGGATGTCATAAAGTGCGATAAGGTCACGGGAAACTTAACACTGATCACCCTGGACTCAAGCCCCGTCACGGTGTTTGGGTGAAGCCTCAGGAGATAAAAACAAACACCACTAAGTGCAATCATATCGCTATAAACTCATTAGTGGCCATATCTGTGTGCAGCATCAACACACTTAAACGTCCCAGTGGGAATACCATCCAGAGATCCCATAAATACAGCAACGAGAGAGCCATTTAAGTATGAAACCCCCCTGTATAGAAGGACAAGATACAATATATATACAGTACTAAATATGATGTACTCGGTGTCCAAACTTTTACTCAGTTAGACGTCAACGTACCATAAAAGGTTTAATAACTAAACTAAAAAAAAGAGACCTAAAAATCAGTCAAAAAATTGACATAATGTAACCAAGAAATTAATTAGAACAAAGTGCTAACATAGTAATGAAGAAAAATAGAACTAAAGGTTTCAAGGATTTTTATATTCAGACCACAACTGTTAAACAGGAAAAGGTACATCATAGAACCAGAATATAAATAGAAAAAATAAATATAAGAAAAAAATGGCTATAATATGACAGGAAATGTATAAAAAGGTGGCAGTGATAAAAAGTTTAATCCAAAGACTGGTGGGTTATTGAAGAAAAATGTAACGAAATGCCTGAAAATTGAAATTAATTTTGAGATTTAACCGCAGGTTTTAGTTAATTTAATTTAATTATATTCTTACAGTATATATATATATATATATATATGTATATATATATGTATATATATATATATATACATATATATATACATATATATATATATATATATATACTGTAAGAATATAATTAAATTAAATTAACTAAAACCTGCGGTTAAATCTCAAAATTAATTTCAATTTTCAGGCATTTCGTTACATTTTTCTTCAATAACCCACCAGTCTTTGGATTAAACTTTTTATCACCAAAAAACACATGATGTCCAAAATTGATGTCTGAGTTTTTCTAGCTCTATAATTATACTACATTTGTTAAAAGGTGCCCAAAAAACACATGATGTCCAAAATTGAATGTCTGGGAATGTTTTTCTAGCGATGACAATTATTTTCCGAATTACATTCCACGATTTAAATGTATTTTAATGAAGATAGTCAAAAAGTTTTCAAATGTATAATAATAATACCTGTATATGTATATAATATATATCAACATATATATATATAACCCTGGAGACCCCTGATGGGGCTCCTAGTGTCGTCAGATGTACGTAGAGCCTCTACTCTGACACCCGCTCGTCTCGATGACAGTGTATTGTGCGTGTGAGGAACATTTTTCCGGGACATTTCTGCTTTGCATCTTTATCATCAGCTTTAAGGAGCCTCATTGTGCCTCAGGAATAATCTGTTTTGAAGGCGTTGTGCATTGACCTCACTTAAGCCCAACAGCTCTACCCCAAAATAGCAACCTGTATCATTACCTGGATGGACCTAATGTGAATACTGTTTTTCCATAAATATGCATTGACAGTGGTATCCCTTGAATACACTCGAATCACCAACACACATGATGGATGAGCTCTTGTACTCAGGGCTGCAGACACGTACAGAAACACCACAGAGTGAGATGTGCGACTCACCACAGTCCGGATTCAGTCCACGAGCCACTAGTTGATTATCAATGTTTTAGAGCGTATACCCCAGCCATAGGCTACAGATATTTAAAATATCATTCTTTCTTGTTGATTAATGTAAATAAATGAACACACATGTGCTACACGGACAGAGAAAGTATGCAGTAAATTTAACATTCTGTTGTTTTCCACAGTGACATTTGTCCTGAAATCATCACGTTCTGTTGACTTTACTATGTCTTGGGCCACTTGTTGTGTGTTGCCAGGTCAACTGGCTGCAGACACGTACAGAGACACCACAGAGTGAGACGTGAGACTCACCGCAGCTCACATTTACAGTAATTTTCGCATTATATATGTGAACTGGCAGCACAACAGCCAATGCAGTTTTGATGATATTAAAGTACGTTGTTTAAGTAACACAATAGTCTCAGTACTAGACAGCGCCACCTTTCCATCCAGGAAAACATTCAGTCACTTTATCCAAACTTTTTCTCATGTTTGGCTAAATTGTGTTTCATACTTTGGTGGGAAATTGACTGTTTTTAAATTGTTTTTTTTTAAAAATAGTTTCCAGGATAACCCAAAGATTACAAACAGAGCAAATTAGTAAAATAAATACAAGAAGCAAGTAAGAAGTAAGAAAGTAAGAAAAGCGAAGGTCAACAATTTAAAATAAATTCAATACATAATAATCTGCTTGTATTAGGTATAAAATAAATGGCATGATTTTTGGTTTTATTTTCCACAAAGTTAAATTGAAAAAAAAAAACACCTGAATCTACACGTACATTGTTGAATTGGCTCTTTTTATTTATTTTTACTCTTTTATATATTGTCATAGTTAGCTCATTTTATATTTTCCACAAAGGGAAATTGTTTAAATAAGTCAGTTGTAACACTAAAACATATATAATGTGAACATTTCTACGAACACTTTAAAAAGCAACAGTGTATACAGCCTGTACCGTTAGGGGTCTGCATGCCCCCAGTATAAAAAAAAGGAGCCTTTAGGACTGTTTCAGACTACTCCAGTTTGATGTACTGTCCAGATCCCCAGATGTTGTCTATGTCAGGTCTCATGTCTCTGTCCCCCTCTCTCTCTGATGACCGGCCCCTCATGTGTTTCATCTGTGTGCGTCAGTGCAGCTACTTCTGCTGAGTGTCTTCTCTCTGCAGCTCCTTTCCTTTGATTTTATCAATCGACTAGTTGTTTGGCTCAATTCTCTCTTGTTTCCTGGTCTATGTTGGATTGTTTTGTTATATTGAGTTCCTCAAAGAAGAAGATAAAAGACAAAAAAAAAGTATGTAAACTAATGTTAAGGCCTGTGATTTTTGATTAGTAACACATTGTATGCAGTGCAGAGGTGCTGGAGCGGGCATTACTGCAAATTACGTTCAAATTTCTTTTTATTTTATTTTTATTTGTGGATTTTTTTTTTAGTTTTATTTACTTAATTTCCAGTTTTTAAATAAGGTGCTATAATCCTTTCTACAAAAGGGGGCGCTGAAGGGAAAAGTCAGAACATATGGCCTGAGAGAACTAAAAAGAGGTAAACAGATATATAAAAAATAAACACTTTTCAAAAGGTAACACAAGATCGAGAGAAAATTCCGAATGATCTGTGTAGAAATTATACTCTTGCGACCCACCCGAGAGCCGCGACCCAGTCTTTGGGAAACAATGCTATACGAGACCCAAATAGTTTGTTGCTTTTGACCCAGACATCCTTTGACGTCTGACCATCAGGATAAGGTCATATTTGATTAGAAAATAATTTGTGTTATTTGTTGTACCTTGTGTTAGAATGAAGCAGTTGAAGCAATGAACCTTTTAGAGGAACAATGAATGAGGGAAAACAAAATCCAAATTACTCTGACTAATAGTTTTCTAAGAAAAAAGTGATAAATAATAAAAGTAATTTTCACAAATACCTTGTAGTCAAAATAATTTAACTGCAGGTTTTAGTTAATTTAATTTAATTCTATTTTTACAGTATTCAAAGATTCAAGATTCAAAGCGTTTATTGTCATGTGTACAGTAAGGAAAGCAGGTTTCCCTGTACAGTGAAAATTTTACTTTGCTGTCCACACTAAATGCCAAAGAAATCAAGAAATAAAAATAACAAAATATACACAGGAATAAAATAACAAAATATACACATGAATCAACAGAAGTCTTTTCAGTATTTACAGTGTGCAGTTGTTAATACTTGTAAAGTGCAGTAGTTAACACTTGTGGATGTGCAAATTTGGTATGTGCAAAAGTAATGTTGTGTGTGTAAAAGTAATGTATTAGTAACACATTGTATGCAGTGCAATATTTTGCTTCCAAAAGGCTGTTAAATGCGAGTCTATTACAGCGGTTCTCAAAGTGGGGGGTGAGTCCTGAGTTATTGCAGAGGTGCTGGAGCGGGCATTACTGCAAATTACGTTCAAATTTCTTTTTTTTTTATTTGTGTGGTTTTTTTTTTTTTGAAGTTTTATTTACTTAATTTCCAGTTTTTAAATAAGGTGCTATAATCCTTTCTACAAAAGGGGGCGCTGAAGGGAAAAGTCAGAACATATGGCCTGAGAGAACTAAAAAGAGGTAAACAGATATATAAAAAATAAACACTTTTCAAAAGGTAACAGAAGATCGAGAAAAAAAATCCAAATGATCTGTGTAAAAATGATACAAATTATGACGAAATACAAATGTTAGCG